GCCGCAGCACGCCCCGAGTTGCATGGAGTGCGAGGTCCCGCCCAACGCTGCTTGCAGCTTTAATTCAATTTGGTTCTTCAGTGTCTCCAAAACTGACCACTGCAGTTCAAACACTTAACCTCCACAAAACTGTAACACCTCGCCAAAACATGCACCCTACATTTTCTTTTTTAATGTTTTAGCTGGTAGATAAACTAAATGGCCAAAAGAATATGGATACGTCTGACCACATGGCTGTCTGTACCTTTGGTGTGGGACAGTTTTTACTGGTTTGGGCCACTTCCAGTTCCAATGAAGGGAAATCTAAAAGGGGAACTCCACTGATTTCCACTTGTTGTATGACAGCATATATAAAAAACAAGTTGTATAAAGGAGCAATAAAAGAGTGTGAAGTAATGCAGGCGCCAGGTATCGACAAGGAAGAAGAATGTGTGGAATAAAAAAGATGATTTATCTGGTTCCGCTGCATCATTTAAAACTCCACTGTTAATCCGATAATGGTATACATTGTAAAAAAAGTTGCGACAACTCATTATTTCTAAATAAATAAACTAATAACAATAATGATAATTTACTTTTCTTCTGGACTGTAATCTTTACATTTTACAAACACAAAATATGAATTTCATAATTTAATATATATATAATTTAATATTTTCACTTGCAACTATTTAATTTTCAAGCATCTAAATAATTAAAAATTATTTGAAAAAGCATTGTGCTATGAACCAGCTCAAATAACAGTAAGTAAAAAAAAACATAAAAGTTCAACTATGACTTAAACTAAGTGAATAAAGTTGCCTTGAAATTATTTGCTTTTTCTCTCTTTATTTGTTTTACACTGTAGGTAATGGGTGCAGTACTCTTTTAATGCTCGCAGCATACAATATTTTAGTGTTTGTCCCTTTCCTGTTTTAACATGACAGTCCCTTATGGCACAAAGCCAGCTCCATAAAGAAATGGTTTTCCCAGTTGGGTTTGGAAGAACTTGGCTGGCCTGCACAAAGCCTTGATCTCAAACCCACCTTTGGGATCAGCTGGAACTAACCCACTTTGAGCCAGACCTTCAGATCAGTAATGGACCTCACTGATGCTCTTGTGTCTGAATGGGAGTAAACCCCTGCATCAGGTTCAACATCTGGTGGAAAAACTGGAACCAGAAGAGCAGAGGCTGTTATAGCAGCACATTAAATATCCAACTATCAGATATTGCGTAGTGTTTGTGTGCCATATCGTGTATATCACATCTGAGAGGATGTGAAAACATGAATTTCACATCTGCTTTATCTGTGACGCTGCTCCTTTATTTGGTATGGTGCAGTTTTGCAAAATTTGAAGCCCTCAACCACATGAGAGTCCTCATCCTCATCCTCGTCAGTTGAACCATGACTCATCGGTCCACAGACTGACACTCCTCAAACCAGAAGCATCTGATGTTTCTGTTCAGATCCCAAACATCAGAAAATTGAAATTGAATTGAAAATGAATGCTCTAACCATAATGTTTTAATACATTTACATCTTATAATGCCGTTGTTTGTCTCTCCCCACGTCTCTGTGGTCCCATTAAACACGTTATGGCAGAAAAAATGTTTCTCGTGTCAGCAGCAGCAGTGAAATGAAAAGTGCGTGGTATTATTTCCATAAAACACGCAAATGTATGCCCCTTGACAACATTTGTTCTGTTTAACAGACCTTACTTGCTATACAGCATCTTGTATTTGTAACTAGCTGGCAACAGAGGAAAAGATCACAGGAAAAAAAGCTGAAATTTACCAGCAGAAGTTGGTGTGCCGGTTGAAGAAGTTGAGGCTAAGAGAAGTGTTTCATTTAGCCAAATCCTGTAATAAACATTGGCAAGTGAACTTGTTATCTGTCAGCACTGATTCAATGCGACAGAAATACTGTTATAAAAATACAAATGAATTCAACACAGACGCTCATCTACTAACTTAATATCTTAATAAAAGTTAAAGATCGAGTGTGTAACATTTAGGAGATCTATTGGCAGAAATGGAATATAATATTCATAGATATGTTTTATAATATATTATATTATATTTAGAATGACTGGAATATAGGAATCTTCATGTTTTTGTTTTTAGTCATTTTTATCTACAGACACCGTGGGTTGCCTTCCATGGAGTCCGCCATGTTGAACAGCCATGTTTCTACAGTAGCCCAGGGCCTACTTTTTTTTCTAGTCACGTTAAATGTCTATAAACACTAGCTCTATGTTCTATATTTAGTTGAGTTGTGTACTTCCATTATCCCATATGTTTCCAAGAATTATCAAACTCCGAGAAATGTGTCATTTTATTCAGGTAATGCTGTGTTTCACCGGTCTCCTGTCCATGGCGTCATATCCCCTTTGTGCCTGCATCAGCGTTGTGGTTGTCTGCCAGAAGCTGTCATACATTGACTGTTTATCCAGTCTGAAGCCACATTTTTACCATCCACTGTTTAGATCT